ATATATATATGAAATTATTTCAATCTAAATTTTGGTAATTAATAAAAATTATTTATTGATCTAAAAATTTTCTCTTCATCAAATTATATGAGAATTTAGTGTCGACGAACTCGCTATGTGCTTTCTGCAATGACACCCGGAATAAGGGATAGTTGGATTACAGCTTTGCAACAAAATTTGCACAATCCTTCACCGACCTATGCTGAAGCTTGTCAAAGTGATGCTGCAAGTTTACCAGAAAGTGATTTAGTCTCGTTATTACCGGTATGTATTGAACAATCTTGTAATTAATTAAAATTTAGAAAACTTCTCATTTATTTTTATTTTTATAAATTTATCATTTTTTTTTACATGCATTTATCTACCAAAAATCTTATTTTACTATATTGCCTTATTTGTCCAAATTCATCATTCGTTGTATTTTTCTTTTTTAGCGTAAAAAACATATTGCTTATGTGGCACCTGAATCTCATCATTCAAATTCAATGATGGATGATGAATCTTGTACTGAAGATGAATTGAATTCTCTTGATCGACCGTTCAGAACTCAACGAACAAGTCTTTCCGAAAGGTTTCTTTCTTTTCTTGTTTTACTCTACACTTTACATCTTTAATGTCAATCGAATTAATTAATTAATAATATATGCATGTTAACATCGATGTCAATATGTTTTATATTGGCTAATTGTTGAAAATTTCGTTTGAAATTAAATTACATCTTTATTTACTATCAAAATTTCGTTAAATATTTATTTTGCAGATCATTCGAATTGTCAGATGACGATAATGAAGTTGACAATGATCGGCGACATTCTCCTCAACAACGTCGTAATGGTCGTGATCAGAGCTTATCACCAACTTTTCGTCGTTCGCCAGTATCACGTATCAAAGATAAATCAACCAATCGACAGCAGAATGGAACGATGAGGTAATATGCAAATATTTTTACAAAATTTTTCTCCATTAATTAAGCTGGTTTAAACAGATTGTAAGATTATAATTCAGTGATAACTTAATGTCTGTTGCTTAGATGATAAAAATTCCTTATCCTAAAATTAATCATCAGCTTGCATATTAATGTGATCTTCGGCTTTTTATTTTTCTCTTCAAATTATCTAAAAAATTTTATTTTTAAGAAGAGAAATTTTGTGATTTACAATTGTTTATGAGCAATTTCTTTCATATTATACACTTAAAAAAGCACTTATAGAGAAACTAAGAAAATTTTATCAATATTTATAATTTGCTGGATATTTGTATGAATTAATTTAATGTTATTCAGAGTGAAATAAGTCAAAAAAAATCGTGGAAAAATTCATCCTTAAATTTCTAACTTTTTAATGAATATTTTTGGTCTGCGTTAAATAAAACTGGTATTTTTTTTTCAAAATGCTAAACATGTTTGTTTTATTCTTTAATCATTAAGATAGTTTTATCACTTATTCAATTTATTAACTTTCTCTCTCAAAAAAACTAAAAGTATAGGATGCTTATTAAATTAATTATAAAGACAGTCATGTGATATTTCATAAGTTAGTATTTGAACCTTGTAAAATTCCAAAAGTTGAATTTTTAAATTTTATTTTGCAGGAATGGTTCTAGTTTATCGCTTTCATCTGTTATACCTACAACTATACAGTCGCAGAGATGTAACTCATCGGTAAATATAAATTAAATCTTTAGTACTCAATTATAATTTTACCAGAAATAAATTTAAATTCGCAAGTATTTAAAAAGAAATAGATGTTCATATGATAGATTTGATTTATTTTTAAAAGTATTTCTCTTTGCTAAAAAGCATTATAAATGGTTTAATTTTAAAGATTTAAATTATATAGCAGGAGATTTTTTTTAGCTTATATTTGATTGGATTACTGCGGCGTGATTTTGTTCTGCCAGTTTCTTCTAATATTTGTCTTTTCTCATATCAACTTCTCTCTTTCTTTCTTTCTCTTTCTCTCATTTCAATACCTTTTACTCTCTTTCACTTACTAAATGTTTACATAGCTTAAAAAAGAAAACTGTTAATGTTGGAAGTAGACTTGCTTTTTTACAACAACCAATTAATTGAGTTTATATACAAACTATCATCGATGATGACCACATGTAGCCTTTATGAAATTCTTATTTTTTCTCTCGAGATTTTTAATACAAGAAAATATTGAATTAAATTAAGAATTTCCCAAGACACATTTATATATGGTCATTCAATAAATGCAATATGCCAATTAAGTTATTTGTTAAGGTCGCTAAAGTAAAAAAAAAATCTCGGGAATAGCTATAATTTGAGATTATCATTCGAGAAGTATTTTTTGTATTACCTTTTTTGTTGCCAAATTATTTCGATAAGAAGTAAGCATAAAGTAGTGAAGTGAAGAGAACTGTGTTATTAATGTTAGCTTTATGCTACATAATAATTTAATTCGCAGTTTTATATTTAAATTTTCTTTTTCCTTCCCCTCTTGTTGTTGTTGATATTTTTGTTGATGTTGTTGTTGTTGTTGTTGTTGATGATGATAATGATGGTGTTAAAACGAGTTTCTCGTATTTGCAAAATGGAAGGAATAGATATTTAATCAACTTATTGATATATATTTTATCATCAATTGCTTCTGACCAATAGCATTATTCAGTGATAAACTATTATTATCACTATTCATTCTTTCAAATAACTTTTCACCTCCTTCTTTTTCTATCATCTTATCAATCTCAACATTAATTTCATATCACTTCCGTACAAGATTAACTATTAGTTTTAGCAACACACACACACACACACACACACACACACACAC